CCCAATAATCACAACACTCAGCCCAACTGCTCGGTCCATTATTTCTGGATTCTAGAATATTGCATTAGGGCTACATGTACAGTGTTTTCTCTAATTCATCACATGTATACCACGCGCCACACCTCTTTATATACTGCACTATAGCATATATCTATTCAATGAGAATGGACGTTCAGTTTATTTGCCTTCTTGTTGGTCTCTATACCTTATTACTCACCCCCTTCCTACCCCGTGCTTTACTCCCGCTTTGTCTCTCTCTCTCCTCCCTCTTCCACCACTAACTTTTCTTTGTCTTCATCCTAAGTTTTCTCCCTCTTATTATATTATTTATAGAGAAGGTCACTTAGAAGTGTTGGAACCAATCACGCATAAGTATACCAGAATTGCAATATCAAGCATTTTATATATTTTTCCAATAGAAAAAAGGTGCGAATATGTATTATAATAATTCAAGCAAAACGAGAAAAAAAAGAAAAGTACAGGCATGCATTTGGTCAAAAGCAAACAACACAGCATTTGGAAGCTAATCAAGTTGATAAAAGAAATTAGAAGTGTGTGGGAAGTGAACATAATTTTCTGGTACTTGCTGTCACACCTTACTTTTGGACCATATTTTATCTTAATTAGAATAATTTAGAATCATTTCTTATGGTCTTAATTTAGAAAAGTTTGAATTTCAAAATTTCTTAAATTTGATTTACTATTCATTATAACCTTTACAAAGGCCAAACTTTAAAAATTTATAACTAACTCTAGAAAAATCGACATAAGATGGTTTCAAGTTCTATGGAAAGCTCTTAACATGCTTTTTGAAGGAAAAATACTCATTGGCATCGAAAACTCATCAATTAATCTCAGATTTCGTGCAAAGTTGTACTGTTCATTTGGTTATTTTTTAATCTTTCAGGATTTATGTCTAACTTTGAAAGGGCATAACTTTTTGTATAAAACTCCAAATTTAATGAAATATTACTTGTTTTAAAGCTAAAAATATGATATATAATTCTATCAAGTTTCATCCAAAATCTGATCCAATTACACACAATTTTGTTGGTCAAACTTTACCCTGAAAAAGTTAATTCTTATCCTCTTTTCATAAAATTCTTGCCTTTTTCTCCTCTTTTCAATCTATATAACCATTCCAATCACACATCACATGCTTAAACATGACTCTTTAATCAAATGTTCACATGTCAAGCATCCTTGATAATTAATATAGTATCCCAACATAATTCCCAATAATACATAACATTTCATAATAATTACAAAACATATACATTAGGTTCAAATAACTTCTATATGATTCCACAACATAATTTTTTCATGGAAATACCATCTCCTTGCCCTTGAACACACCACTTGAGGTTCCTATTGATTGTTTATATATTGAGAGGAATGAAATTTCATAGAAATCTCAGTAGTAGGAATTACAATAATAATATCATGCAAGGAAGGTTACATATAGATTCATGAACATTCTATGCCATGCAAGTATCATCACAATTCACTCATAAACAACATGTTAATGCATGATGCCAAGCATACAATGCAATCAACTAACATGTCATTTTCATCAAATAATCTCAAACATAACATAGCACATATTCAAGTAGTCATATCATATAACAAGCAAGCAAGTTAACATGACAAATTGTGAGTTCTATGCTACCTCTTTTTAATGCACAATTTTGGCCTCCTTGACTCCTTTGGTTTCCTCCTTGTTCTCTTGTACAATGCCTATCAATTCATGCATAAACACATCCCAAGTTACCAATAATCCAAGCATAAATATTAATGTTCCCCCTTGAACTCAATTAAATCCTTTTTTTTTCTTGATTTTTGACATAATTATTTCTTCTTTGTTTCCATCAATCTCTTGACCCATTCCTACACAATTTTTCATATATAATCCAAATATCAAATCAGATTCAACAAAATCATACTCTTTCCCCTTCAATTCACTTTAACCGAATAGGGTAGTATAATTTCTAAAATTTTTATTTTGGATTCTAATGATTTTAAACACATTCCCTTTGCATTCCCCTACACAAAAACAATTTTTAAACTCATTAGAATCATCAAATTATATTGAAACAAATTCCTGTCCCAAGAAACCATAGTGGCTGAATAGGGCTATATAAACCCTAACTTTGATTTCTTCCAAAATTCAATCCAAATATCAATTAAAGATGTAATTACAAGCTTATATTCATAGTTTCTATCCTTCCCTAATGCTTCCTTAATTAGGCCAAAATATTACAGCATGGCACCATGGAATTTGTCATGAAATATCAATTAAAACAACCCTTAAATCCAACCAAAATCAAGTTTAGACATACCTTAATGGATCCTAACTTGAAGCTTGATGATTTTTTTTTGAATTTGGAGTGTGTTAGGTGCTGTTTGGAGTTGAGTTTTGAATTTGGCAGAATTTCCTCCTATTTTCTCTATTTTGGTCGAAGTATGCTTAATATGAGGGGGTATTTATAGACCTAAAATCTGACTCCCTCTCCTCACTTGTGGCACTAGATTTGGCCACCTAAGAGGCCATGTGGCCTTTATGAAATGCTCCAAATTTTTTGATCTTGCCAAGTGTCTTGTATCATGATTATTCCATGGATATTTTGACTTAATTTTGGTTAAGACTCTTTAATTGTTAGGCCACCATTTGCATTAAATTTTGGGCCCTCTTAGCCAATATGAAGTCCAAATCTGATTTAAAAAGGAAGAAAAAGTGGGATCCACTCATAAAAATCAATTTTTGACTAAAACTCACCATGTTGGTTACTATTTTCAAAAATAGTTCTGAGCTTCCAAAAATTCATTCTCTCCATCAAAAACTCCTTTCTAATCTAGGAAAGCAATCTAAAAAATTTAGGAGTTTATCTCCGCCTCTAACTATTTATTTTGAATTTTCTCTAAAATAGGGCTTTACCGATAAGATTTTGGTAATAAATCTTCTAAAGTTAATCCTTTCACCTCCAGGGCCTGGAAATAATTTTATAAATTCAAATAAATCCTTAAATAATTTTCTCATATTTTTTTTAGAATTATTGAGGCCTCTAAATATTTAAAATAATTGTTTTGAGCTAATTTTTTTTTACTGTTTTTCTAAAAAACCTCTGTTTACAAGAAATTCTGTAATAATTTATTTTCATACCATTTCCACATCTAGGGCTTCAAATAGGGTTTCAAAACCTCTAATTTACATTTTTACTATTTTTCTAAAATTTTCTGGAATTTTTTTTCAAATTTTTTCATTTTGCTTTTCCTAGACCGATAATTTCAAAAATATTAGTCCAGATAAGGGTTGGAACTTAACTCAAAAGTTGTTCAGCCTCTGAATCTACTTTATTATTTGACCCTCGGCCTAATTGATTATTCACATTCTCAAGGTCAAATTTGGTGGAATGTGCCTCTGATTTAGTAATAAAAAAAAGAGTTATTGAGGCACGATAGTTGCAGGCAATGGAACAAATGCAACATGAGTACAGTTGCTGCTTTTCAAATTTCTTTATTGAGAAGAATTAGAAGTTGAAGGTAGGTTGTCTCATGTCTGTATTAATGTTTTATCAGACTGTGAAATTGGACGATTAAGAATCTCATGTGGCCACAATTTGTTTTATAGAAGAAAGAAGTGGACACAGTGAGCTCAAGCACTAGAGGCTCCAAATAAGGGTAACGCCGGACGTGGAAGAAGATGTTGGGAATGAAACAAAAAGAGATGCGCCACACTTCCTAACAGTAGTATTTAATGGTGTTACTATTTAGTTAAGGGTAAGGACTAATAAAGCCAAAGGATCTAATAATAATTAAAAAAACTCAGAGACTCAATTCAAAATCAAAAGAAATTGTAAAAGACCTCAAATAAATTTTCGCTAAAAATAGAAAATACCTCTCATGGTCCCTTTAGAGCCTTCGATTTGATGAGCACATGCTTGTTTAACAATACTCCTCCAGTCTTTAATATAAGACCTAATTAAAAGTTGATCTTGATCCTAAATATAGGACCTATTTCTTATATTTACTATTTTTTCTAAATTATCCCTATTAAATAATTAAATACCACAATAATACTTATTACTCATTAGTAATACATCTATATATTTTATGAAGTGAGTGAGTATTTATTACTCATTAATTCTACACATACATCAATTCTACCGCTTTGTATTTTTAATAAAATAATTTAAAATATTTTTTGAAATTTCAGTTTTTTTTAAAAATTTTAACCAAGGTATTTTGGAAAACATATGTCATATTTATGATTATTACCTAACTTAACCAACTTTTTTAATTTAATCAAAGTAGTTAAATAGATTTTATATTAAGGACCGGAGGAGTACTACCTCTAATTTTGAATATAGGATTAGTTAGGAATTAATTAAATTTAGTTCTAAATATAATATCTCAATTTACTTTGTTTTAAAAATTTATAATTTATTCTCTAAAATATACTTATTTGTTACATATATTAAGAGATTTACATTTATCTAATGAACTAATATTTATTACGAATAATTATTATGAATAAATAACTTAATTAATTTTTATTTATTTATTTTTTTTAATGTGAAATATATTGGAAAAAAGGATATTTACAACGGCTTACAAGAAGAGAAAAATAAACAGCGGAGTAAACAGAAACATCAAGAACTACTAGCCTACAAGGTGTTGTTTCTGAAGCCTTAGCTATACGATCAGCTGATGCTATGACTTCATTCACGGCACGGTGTTAATACTTTCTTTTATCTAGTAGCATGTGTTGCATATAATTTTGTTGGGAAAGGGGGAAAAAGTAAAAAGGACAGGGAAAAAATAAGGGAGAATTACAATGAGGTCCCAAGTAATTTAAAAACAAGTTTCAGAGGTTGTCATTCTCACTGTAGGACTTGTTATTACAAGCTGCTCAGGTTGTTACTTGAGATTTTGTAGTGATTATTTCTCTAGGACTTAAATGTAATTCTCCCAAAAAAACAAAAAGGAAAACCTAAAACTTGCGCGGCGGCATGAACATTTCCAATCCTAACTTCTGGACAATTGTGAGCGGAGTTAGACGGGATTGAACATTAAGAACTCAACTCTCATACCCTCACAAAATTTTTTCCGGTGGGAAAATCGCAACGCTATTTGGCTTCTTCTCTCCCTGACTTCCTCCAATACCTACGCAGAACTACACAGACGATCTTCTTAACTTTTCGGTGGGAAAGAGAGGAAATTTGTTGCTCGTGAAGATAGACACTTCTTTTTTAGCAGAATGTGCAATGATGTTTGGCAATAACCGCAGCCACTGTATATTTGTTACAGTGAGACGCTACTCCAGGATTCGCCCTCCACGTCCTGTCACTGTTGAGCCTGTAATCAGAGTGTCCAACAACATTGCTCGCCTTGATGCGCCAAAAGAAGGTCCGAAACCCAGGCAGCTTCTCTCATTGCCTCCTTTCCCTCCCCACCCTTTGCCTGGCAAGAACTCAATCGCTGCTTCGGGAGAGGCTGGTCATATCACTGCTATCAGTTGGATGAAGTATTACTTCAAGGGGATGTGGAATTCTGTTATTGAGTCCCATTTTAGGGATGGCCTTGTAAGCATTATCTATATATTTCTTTTTCTCTGTAGCATAATTTGATTGCTTTCACCAGTAACACGTGAATTTTCTTCTCTTTCGTCAATGTTATGTTTGAAACAAAATTCTGCAAGTTTTCACGGTGTTCGACTATCTTCGATTGATCCAGGAAGAACAAATGCAAATTAATTTTTTATGGGGTGCACATGCTGTGTTGATACCATAGAAGCACCCTTTCAGCAGTGTGCCTCAACTCTTAAATCTAGATAATTACATAATGAGAAGGAAAAAAGCAACAGATTTAGATAGATAGAATGTAGGATAAGAGAGAGGGAGAAAATCATAGAACTGAACTCAAAGAGGACGTAGAAGGAAGCGGGAACAGATGTACTACACCTGATGGGCAACACTACGAACCGGACGGTCGGAAAAGAAGGGGGGGGGGGTTCGGGGTACGGGGGAGGTGAACAAATTGTAGATGTTTAGTTTCTGGTAGTTTCTTCAAATGGACCATATGGCATGGGCTATGAGCCCTGGCCCATGGCACATGTGGCTTGTGCCAAGCCATGCAAATGATCCTGCATCACCACACTAAAGAGAGGATATGCAATTTGTTTCCAAATAATATATGTAGTTTGTTTCATGGTCAAATTCAGGGATTAATAAGTTTAGTTATTGGTTTTAATGTTATTTTCTTGTTAAAGGTCAAGATGGAACACCCAATTTCTGAGAACTCTTTTACTCAAAATGAAGGGCAGAAGTCTTTGAGAAAGGTACTGAAACCAATGATACTTTCATGTAACTTTTTTGTTCCACCATTTTGAGTCACAAACCTTGCTCTGGACTCCCGAGAATCTCCTGTGTGCGTGTTTGTTTATTTTGAATTGGTCAATTTCTTACAATATGTTGTAGCTTTAATGATACTACAACTGTGCAGCTTAACAACAGATTAAACATAATGAAGTGATGAAGCCTGGGGCAAGAATTCATGTCCCTGTATCAGTTGCTGAGACTAGGATTTCTAAAAGATATGACACAATACCTAGTGGAACTCTATATCCAAATGCTGATGAAATTAGGTATCTGCAGAGGCTTGTGATTTACAAGGCATGTCTTCCAAATCTTAATTTACTCAGTTTGACTAATTTTTTGATTTAAGTTCATTGATAGATATTTTATTTATTGTGGACATTTTTCAATGTATTTATTTCAGGATCCTGCCATAATTGTACTAAATAAACCTCCAAAATTGCCTGTTAAGGTTTGAGTATTTGTGCAGTTATTAATGCATTTTTGTTCTTGCCTTTTAATTTTCTTCCCTTCTAATTTTCTTGGTAACCTTGTTAGGGAAATCTGCCAATTCATAATAGCATGGATGCATTGGCGGCTGCAGCACTTTCCTATGACTATGATGAGGGTCCTAAGCTGGTGGGCTCCCCTTTTCAAATTCTTATCAGCCAGCAAAACAATTTGGTCGATTTTTGACAATAAAATGCATTGTTGTGCTGGACATTTTTCCATTAATGGTGTATTGATGTCCTGATTAATCATAATCTTAACTGTTGACTTAAAATGTTCGGTAAGTGTAGCTCTTTTCTTCCTGGGATTCCTTTAAACTTTAGAGGAAAAGCGTTGAGATTTTCTGTTTGGTTTCCATTATTCTAGAATGAATTTCAGGGAATTCACAGAGAGAGGTCAGTAAAAGGGGAAAAACATAACTACCTGTTGAGTATACCAGAATCTAGGAGACTCCAGTCCTTCCAAATTCTTCTTTGCTTTTCTTGAACAGGCGGCCTCACTTTCATGCTTCCTCCAGCCATTTTGTACTTCCAACCTCTGCTCACCACTTGTGACTATGTTAAGAAATTGGACTCATGTTTGTTTGAACCTTATAACTTTTCTAGCCCACTTCTCCTTCCCTAACTTGTGAATTTTAAATATAAAAACATTGAGAATTGGTTTTGTTTTATTGCATTTTTAGTCTGATGTGCGAACCATGGAGAGGGAATTACGCCATTTTTTCTTCCTTCTATTAATTTGCCCTTGTAGTTTGTGAATGCATGCTTGCAGCGCTTCATATCAAAACAAATTTCTTGTAATGAAAGAAGAATGTATTTACTTTTCATTTGTGAATTATTCCGACAGAGAGAGGAATTCATGGTTCTGAAGCTATGTAACAAAGAAATAAGGGAAGCGTGAGCTTATTGGGCCTAAAATTAATAACTTAAAGTTGTGATGCAAAAACAACAAGGATAGTGTTATGTAATTGTAATTTGTGTTATATAAGTAAGGGTAGATAGGACAACTTACTTAGATTAGAATAGCTACCAGATAATAACTTGTTAATTGCATTTGTTTTCGTTAGTTAGTTCTGTTAGTAGTTATTTCCTTCCATAAAAAGATACTCCTAGGATCAAACCGAGAAGTTTGACTATTGAATGAATTCAAGGATTATCCAGCAACCCTTTCTATTCTTGTTTCTCTCTTCCCTCTTCTCTCTCTGTCACTCTTTCCCTTCTTTCTCCCCTTTCCTATCTTTCTAATTCCAAGAACATACCAAGTGACATCAGAGCCACAGGTTTTCGGCCTATCCCTACAATCTCTGATTCTGTATGCCTGAGACACGATTGAAGACTAGCAATAAAGTCATTGACGAACAACTCCAAGTAGTAGAACAACAATTAACTATAGTGACGGCACTTCAAGAATCAGTTTTTCACATGTCCACGCAACTTTAGGCAATGGCTCGAAATTTAGAGGAGGTTACCATGACACTCCATAACCCAAAACAACCACAACTTATTGACAGACCGAATGGGGGCGGCAATGGATGACAATGCGCGACCCAGTTCACCAAGATGGAGTTTCCAAAGTTCCCGCGGACAAACGTGGTGGCATGGATTCTTAAGTGCGAGCGATTTTTCAAACTAGATGAAACGGCGACTGACTTGAAGGTTAAAATCACTAGCCTGCATCTCAATGATCGCGCCTTCCAATGGCATATAGCATGTGAAAAACAATGGGCAAGCAACCCACCATCTTGGGAAGCATATGTCGCACTTTTGAAGGATTGTTTTGGGCCGGCCTATGAGTCCCCAATTGGTGACCTTCTGTGTTTGCATGACCAAGGGACTCTCGCCAATTTCAATAAAGAGTTTGATTTGGTCTCGATGAAGGTGGGATTCAACGAAGCTCAATTGGTCAACGCCTACCTAAACTTGATTAAGGAAGAACTCGCCGACCCAATCCGAATGTTCAAGACCAAATCCATGAGAGAAGCCAAGAGTCTTGCAAGAATGCAAGAACTCACTAATGAGCATCTCGGTGAAAAGAAACCGTGGACTAAGAGACCCAAGCTTGCAACACCTGTGAATTGGGTGGCTCCAGGATCACGAAACACGTCTTCTTGGAGTAATGAAGGACATGCAAATAGTGGGTCCTAGCATAAGGGAAAATTCAACTCTGCCATGACTACATCTCAGTCTTTTGCTATCAAGAATCCTCCTAAGGTGTCCAAACCACTAACAGTGGAGGTGCCATGAAAAATTTTCTAAGGATCACAAATGTCCCCAACAAAAAAAGATGCTCCTGCACTTCATTGAATATGATGAGAAGGCAGAATTAGAGAATGACTCAAGGTTGGATCTCGCAACAGATGAAGACGAAATAACTCCTACCATTTCTTTGCATGCTATTAGTGGAGTCGATGATGCGGAGTTTATGGGATTACAAGGCTATGTGGGAAGACGTCCAATTCAGATTCTAATAGACAATGGGAGTACACATGACTTTCTTGACTTGACCGTAGCTCAAAAGTTGGGTTGGAAAACTGATTATGCACATGATTCACGTGTACAAGTTGTAGGAGGCAAAATGCTGAAGGTTCACGGACTCTGGAGGGACTTCAAGTGGAAAATACAAGGATTAGACTTCACCTTCGATTTTAGGATTCTGGACTCACCTACTTATGATATGGTGCTAGGTGTGAAATGGCTAAAGAGCATCAAGAATGCTTTTTGGGATTATGAAAGAATGATCATGTATTTCTAGAAAAATGATCAGATATGCAAGTTACAGGCAAATACCCCCAATCCTTGGGAGATCATTCAATCTAAGAAGGTCGGATAGAATTTTCTTCAACACAACCAAAAATTTTTGGTGCATTTAATTCAGGCCAATAACACGGAGTTAGAGTGTTTTTCGGTTTCCAGTATTGATGAAAATGCAACCAGTTTAATTCAAACTACTCTAGGTGATTTTCAGGATGTGTTCAAAGAACCTAAGGAGCTTCCACCCCTTCGAGAAGGTCACAAACACCCTATTATACTACAAGAAGAACACCAATCTCATGTCAAGGTGGTGCTGCAAATCTTAAGAGATAACACCTATTATGCAAAGAAGGAGAAGTGATCCTTTGCAACAACCTCCGTGGAATGTTTAGGACACATTATTGGTAATGGAGAGGTCTCCATTGATCCAAAAAAGATTCAGGCTGTAAAAGATTGGCCTGAACCTGTTAATGTGAAGCAACTGCATGGATTCCTAGGGTTGGCAAGCTATTACAGGCGGTTCATAAAGAATTATGGCACTATTGCTAGACCTCTCACCAATTTGCTAAAGAAGAATGGGTTTTTGTGGTCACTCGATGCTAACAGAGCTTTCCAACAGCTTAAGGATGCTCTCACTTCAGCTCCAGTACTTACTTTGCTTTGATTTTTCCAAACAATTTGTTGTGGAAGCGGATGCATGTGGATTAGGCATTGGAGCAGTGCTTATGCAGCAGGGGCAACCCGTTGCATTTTTTAGCAAAGGTCTATCCCCAAAACATCAAAGGCTCTCAATTTATGAGAAGGAGCTAATGATAGTGGTCATGGCTGTCCTACAATGGCATCAGTACTTGGAAAGAAGGAAATTTATTATTAAGATTGACGAGCAAAGTCTAAAATACTTACTAGCTCAGCAACTCAAAACTCCTTTTCAACGATTTTGGGTATCTAAACTTGCTGGGTTTGATTATGAAATTCACTATAAGAAGGGGAATAATAACACAGCAGCTGATGCTGTTTCTAGGATGCCATGACAACAACTCTTACAGACGGCATTTGATACTTCCCCTCAACCTTTGGATAAAATTAAAGCTAGTTGGGATCAAGATGATACTGTTTCAACCATTAAACAAAGGGTTCAACTGCAAGATGGCCAATGGAGTCATTTTTCTTGGGATGGTGACTTATTAAGGAGGAAAGGCAAGTTGGTTATAGGGGCTAATCAGGCCTTAAGACAATAGATTCTGGAATGGATGCACACTAGTCCCCAAGGAGGGCATTTTGGTATTCAAGCTACATACCAGCGTGTTAAAAGCCTTTTTTGGTAGAAGAAAATGATCCATGACATTGCAGATTTTATTAAGCATTGTGACACATGTGCATGGTGCAAGTATAAGACCACTGCTTCTCGTGGAATACTACAGCCACTGCCTATTCCTAATAGGATTTGGGAAGTATTGCAATGGACTTCATTGACGGACTCCCTAAATCTCATAGGAAGGATGCTATTTGGGTCATTAGTAATAGAATGAGTAAGTATGCTCATTTTATCCCTCTCTCCCATCCTTATTCCACATCTACATTGGCACAATTATTCATGGATCATGTGTTTAAATTACATGGAGCTCCAGCAAAGATTATTAGTGATTGGGACCCCATTATTGTAAGCGATTTTTGGAAGGAGTTCTTAAGGGTAATGGGAGTAGATAAGAAATTATCTTCTTCATACCATCTTCAAACGGATAGACAATCAGAAGTCCTTAACCAATGTTTGGAGACCTATTTGAGGTGCATGACCTGGGAGAAACCTAAGGAATGGAGCAGGTGGCTATCCCAAGCAGAATGGTGGTACAACACCAATTTCCACTCCTCTACAAAGGCCTCCCCCTATAAGCTACTGTTTGGACAGAAGCCCCCTATCCACTCTCCCTACTTACCCCATAATTCTGTTTTGGAAGCTGTTAATAGAAGTTTTTCAGCAAGAGAAGAGATGCTAGCCATCCTCAAACATCATTTACATCGGGCTGCAAATTACAACCTTGTAGCAGAAGTCTGATTCTCACAGGGTTGATAGAGAATTTGCTGTGGGGTAGTGGGTTTTCTTAAAATTACAACCTTGTAGGCAAATTTCTGCAGCTTCACAAAGCTCCCAAAAGTTGGCTCTTTGGTATTTTGGGCCTTACAAAATCCTAGAAAGATTGGGGAGGTTGCCTACAAATTGAATCTTCCTCCTGAAACCCGAATTCATTTTGTTTTTCACATTTCCATGCTTAAATTATGTCCTGACCCGACAATTAAGCCTAGACATCCACCGGTTGATTTTCCTAAGTTACCTATAGTTTAGGAACTTGAGCAGATCCTAAACAAAAGAGTGGGCAGAAGGAAGCAGCGAATAATCACTAAGGTTCTAGTTCAGTGGAAAGGAAAACCTGATGAAGAAGCTTCTTGGATGCCTCTATTTCAATTTCAACAACAATTTCCTAACTTTGTAATTCCAGATCCTTAAGGGCAAGGATCTTTTGAAGGGGAGGGCATTGTTATGTAATTGTAATTCGTGTTTTATAAGTAAGGGTAGATAGGACAATTTACTTAGATTAGAGTAGGCGTTAGATAATAACTTGTTAATTGCGTTTGTTTCCGTTAGTTAGTTCTGTTAGTAGTTATTTCCTTCTATAAAAGGATACTCCTAGGATCAAACCGAGAAGTCTGACTATTGAATGAATTCAAGGATTATCCAGCAACCCCCTCTGTTCATGTTTCTCTCTTCCCTCATCTCTCTCTGTCACTCTTTCCCTTCTTTCTCCCCTTTCCTATCTTTCTCATTCCAAGAATATACCAGATGGAGCAGGCTGATGGACATAGGGTGAAGAACACAAACAACTGGGTGAGTGGTGACTAACTCTAGCAGAGCATATCATGCTCTGATCTAGGGGGATGAGTGACAGCATTTGTGAGGTTGAAGAATCTTGACAAGGGTTTTGCAGGAAAATTCTATTTCTCAAATTGCTAGAGTCTGTTTTCTATCTCTGCATTTTTGTTGCTGGTTCATTTTCTATATTAAGGTTTTGTTTGCGGGCAGGTTTTCATATATATATTTTATCTTTTAATTCCATGCTATATCTTCTACTTAGCTTGAGCTCTCGCTTTTCACCTATATTTATGTGATTGATGACGTTGGATAGTATCTGATATAAATGTCATTTTGATTAGGTCTTTAGCAAAAGCTTATGATATTTACAAAATGATTAACTATATCTCATAAGAGGTGCAGTCAGCATTTGGACATGGTCTTGTCGTGGTTGTTTGTGATTGGTCTGTTTTAATATCTTTTGGTCTTATTTCTAGAAGTCACAATGCATGATCCCATTTGTCTGCATAAATTTTCCTGCAAATGCAAATGCAGTATTAACTATAAAAAAGTATTTTTGAGAAAGCGTATGAATTCATAGTTGATCAGGTAACAGAAGCATTTAGTGATTGTAAGTTTCCTTAAAACAAAATTGATTAATGATTTAATAAGGCAATAAGGAAAAGAAACGTTAATTTCCTTAATTCTCTTTTTGGCCTTTTCCTTTTGAAAAGGTAATTGATGCATAGAACTGCATAATGATATTTTCTTCACTCTCGCTCTATATATGTGTGTGCATGCATGTATCATTTGGCAGTATTATGTAGGGAAGTGCAGGCAGGGTGTGTCAATTTGTGAGTAGCTTATGACTTAAATTTGCCGCTTATTCTAAATAATTGTTTTTAATCCTTGATTGGATAGTTGGAGTGTTCAAATATATAGTTCAGAGTTATGACTGCAATTGCATTTTCTTTGTTTCCTGTTTGCACTACTTAAGAGAAATAGTAGGAATTTGATGAATAGGAGTTTTCCTTACATGTTTCTTTAAAAGGTTAAGAATATAGTTGTTGCTTTAACTTTATTTCTTTTCATTGGCAGGAATTTGATGACCTCTGTTGCATATTGTAGTTATCTTGAAAATAGAAGGGTTAAGGTTATGGTTGTTTTATTTTAATCCTTTTCATGGACCAATGGCGGGCTGTTAAATTTTATGTTTTCTTGGTCAATTATTTTATATAAATTGTCATCTGAATTTTCTGCCTAGTGAACTTCTAGCATGCTGGTGAGAGCATCTTAGTCTCAACTATCAAGTATTCAAGTCATAAGTTTCAACCAGGCACTGTTGAACCACATACTATAATCTGAATTTTCTTCTTGAAACATGTACAATGACATTCTTAGACATGTTTAAATGGTCCTATCCTAATATTGTCTGCAATGTCTTAAACCAAGATTTTGAATTGGTTTCTTTTTGTTGAATATATATATTTGTGTTCTTATTTTGTAAGTTGTCAGGTTCACCGTCTTGATAGAGACACCAGTGGCATCCATTTGCTAGGAAGAACAAAAGATAGCATAGAACACCTTCAGTGGTTTTTCAGTAACATAAACCAGGCAAAATCTTCTTTTAAGGTGCCCTATTTACATGATATCATAAACTGTGCTCTCAATGAAGTATCAGTTGTTTACTTGAGTTTTTCCCCCCTTAAGAGTAACAAACTACACCTTTCTATTTCCTTTTCAACTTTTAAGCTAATTCATTGTGGGTATGCTAGGCTTGGAATGATGCATGTGAAGCTACATATCAGAGATACTGGGCATTGGTCATTGGTACTCCTACAGAGAGAGAAGGCTTAATTTGCGCCCCTCTTTCAAAGGTTCTTGTCTCTTTCTAAGTTCATTTGTTGTCGATGTATTTCTGCATCCATGCTAGCATTTATTTATTTTAAAAGTGGCTGCTTTGTTCTAATTTTTCATTTATTACTTTTTTATAACTTATCACTCAACATAGGTTCTTCTAGATGACGGGAAGACAGAAAGAGTAGTACTTGCCCACCAGTCTGGTATGGAACCTCACCAGGAAGCTCTAACTGAGTATCGTGTTCTTGGTCCGAAGATAAATGGTTGCTCCTGGATTGAGCTACGTCCACTCACTTACCGGAAACATCAGGTATCTTGGAGGCTATGACTTATGCTTGTAAAAGTATTGGCACTATCTTTAGCTGTGTCAAGTTTGCTCTAAATTTTAAATGCTATTTACTTTGTCGGTCATAGGATATTAACTAAATGGGAAAGTTTTCCGCGGGAGATGTTGGAGGGGAGAGAGTAAACATTAATTTTATATATACAAATGCCCGTTTTCATTAGGGGTGCTCAAGGCCGGTCCCGGTCTTATTGGGACAGGACGGATCTGTCCCAAAATTTTTTTGGAACGGGACAAAAAAGGGACTGGGACACGGGACGGGGTCGTCCCGTCCCGGTCCCGTCCTGGTTCCTTTTTTTTTTTTAATTTTTTTTAATTTTTTATCCTATTTATATAATATCATTTTTTTCATATTTTTTTAAGATTTAAGACTATTGTATGGAACTATGGATATATTTATTTAGAGTTTTTATATTTGTTAATGATTTGAGATTATTGATTATTAGAATTTTTAGCAAGTTTTTATTGTGTTAAAAGCTTTTGTTCAGAATTTTTAATGACTATTATATGTAATATTTTGAGCTTTTGTTTAAGAGTGCCCAAACAAATAAAAAAGAAAATAAAAAGATGTTTTTATAAGGTTTAAGCTCAAAAAAATAAAATTAAAAAAATCAGATTTTTTTAAAAAAATTTAAAAAAATTAACAAAATTAAAGAAATTAAAAAACTTCGGGACTGGGACAACCTCAGGACGGGTTGGGATGGGCCGGGACACAGGACAGATTTTCTGTCCCGTTACTGTTCATCGGGACGGAACCGAGACGGGCCTGTTCCGGTCCCGATCCGTCCCGTGAACAGTCCTAGTTTTCATGTGGTCTTAAATTGAGTGATGAACTGGATTATGTTGGATTTATCAGGGCATCTCTTTGATTATTCATATGCACCAATAAATTGCACTTATGCCTTTCATTAATAGAGAGCGCATGAGTGGTAGCTCTGTTTGTGATTATGCCAGAGATTCTACAAAATGACGATTTAGGGATAATGAACCAGAATTGGGGCGCAGAAAGTTGCTCGAATACCTTGAAAATAACCCGAGTCCCACTCTTTCCTGGACTTGACTGGCATATGATCTTTAATTAGGAGAGTTAAGCATTTTCGTTTATGACTGAGTTTGTGTTGGAACTGCTTCGTGAGTGCACTATGCTGGTCATTCTCTATGTTCTACCTGGTAGCTTAGCTGCTTTTGTAAACCATCTACAAATCAAAAGAAGAGATCCGATAAATGTTTTAGGGTATCTGTTGGGTTTTTCTAGAATTTAAGGATTGATTCAATTATTGCACGAGCCCTTGATGCCATGTCAAGTTGGGTAGAGGCAATTAAGATACTATTTACCCATATTTTGATGCAGTGCTAACGGAAAGATGTGAAATTCTCCTATATGCTTATCTTGTGATTTCTGGAGGCCAATCTATCTGAACCATGTTGAATTTGTTGGTTCACTTAAGGGACAGGCTGTAAATTTAAGAGGCACATCAGATGTTTCTGTTAATTTATGGACTTCTTATAAAGGGCATAATTGGGCCTTTCTGGAAAATTCTAGCTTAGCATTGGTTTTGAACCATAGACCAAATTGAACCTTTCCTAAAACTAGAGGGATCCAAAGGCTGTGTGTGTTTGTGTGTGTTAAGGCTCACGATGTCATTGTGATGGGAATAACCCAGTTTATTTTGAATGTTCATGCTTTTGTGCTGGCTATCGAATCATTCAATTATTGATTGCATCTAGGATTCTTTTTTTTTTTTTTTTTTTGGGCAAACAGGAATTATGTCATTATGACTTTTAATTGTGTCAATGGTTAATGGAAACACATGCTCAGTTTTTACCATGCAGCTGTGCTCAGTTAAGCTAGCTTATTTTTTGGATCACATTTCTTTAACAGTTGCGAGTTCATTGTGCTGAAGCTCTTGGCACACCCATAGTTGGTGACTACAAGTATGGCTGGTTTGTGCACAACCAATGGAAACAGATGCCTCGGGTCGACATGGAGCCGACAACTGGACAGCCATACAAGTTGAGGAGGCCAGAAGGCCTGGAGGTTCAAAAAGGAAGTGTCTTGTCTAAGGTTCCCCTGTTGCATCTTCACTGCAGAGAAATGGTACTCCCTAACATTTCTAAGTTTTTGCGTGTTTTGAATAGAAGATCAGAAGAATTGAGACCTTCAGATAGCATGAATCCTGATGTTCTTCGGTTTGTAGCAACAATGCCCTCACATATGAGGATCAGTTGGAATGTAATGTCATCTTATTTGGTTTGAGGACTAGTTCCTTGCCAAATGCTATTCATTAATCTATGACATGTGTGTCACCTTGAATATCAATTTAGGTGGGTGACGTTGTGCTTTGATGTGAAAATCTAGATTATCATGATTCTGTTGTACCTTATTAAAAAAAGAAAATAGGGAAATTACATCAGTCCCAAGCAAGAGAATTTATCATCGTCAGGTCCCATGAAATCAAGTAAGTTTTTAAGTCCCAAGGGATTTGGCTGTGATTAAATTTATATGTACAATTACCTATTTGACCTTATTCATTGAAAAGAAACAAGTGATATTAATTATTTATAATTTGTATATGCAATAACAGTTGTTAATATACCTATTTTAACTGTGTACGGGTTGATATTAGTTGTTAATACACATCTTGATAGTTGTTAATGTAGCTATTTTAGTTGTTAATAACAAGTGCGTGGCGCAGGTTGATATTAATTGATATATGCAATGACAGTTCCTATTTTTAGCTGTCAGTAATAAGAATGTGGTGTAAGTAAAACTGGTAATTGTATATTTAGTTTTATTTGATTTTATAGGATTTATAGTGATAAATTCTTGGGACCCGAGTGTAATTCCTTCAAAAGAAAAATTTAGGGGAGGCTACGTTATCCTTCCAAGTTTAGCTGAATGATATTTGATATTCTTTTTACTTTAAAAGTTACGTTTGGCTCCTTTCAATATTTGCTATATATTGCAAAATCTTTTTTTGTAAGGGAGGGGAGGGAAGGGAAATGTGTCTTTGACATTACTTTGTTTGCTTTTGTTAGATGGGAAGCGGGAGAGTAATTTTTAATGATCTCTTGTGCGCCTCAAACAGGGGAGAGGTAGTTATAATTAATTTGCCATTCTATCGTTGCATATTTAATATTTTATTTATAAGTTAATTTATATCTGCATTCAAATTGTATAATTTATTAAAATTCAATTTTCCTTCCGACATGATAATGTGTGTATAAAAATGATGTAATGATACTTTTATTTCTTGTTAATATAATAATGTAATTTAAACATTAAGTGAACGAAAATTATGAGGATAAAATAGTCAATAAATTTTTACTATTTATTTTTATCTTAAAGTAATATACCATCAGTCTTTGGAACGAGTGAAGAGTTTATTTTTATTTTTTCTCATGGGCATTAATGAAATCTTATAAAAGCCATGAGAAAAAAATAGTTAATAAATTTTTAATTTTATTTTACAAGGGAAATGGAACAGAAAGGAGAAGAGAAAAAATTTTAATGAGTTAGATTTAACAATTTGGAGAAGTGTAGTTTTAAAATTTTAATAAAGAGAAGATGTAAAATAAAAGAATAAAAAAATTAATCCCACATCTTTAAATTTTTAAATCCAGATCATTAAAATTTTTTCTTCCCTTCTTTCTCCTTCACTCTTCTCGTACCAAACTAAGAAACCGAAATGAGGGAAAAGGAGGAAAAGGATAGTAAGGGTTCCTCCCTTTCAAAATTTTCAACCAAATATTTTACCAAATAAGGAGAAGGGAGCATATTCCCTCCCTCCTCTCCAACGAAATACATGTTCTTTTAATTCTCAAATCCTTAATTTTATTAAGAAAAAATGTTAACATTAAAATTTAAAGTGTTGAAATAATATTGGCTTAAATGAAATAAGAATAATTAGCATAAAAATTATTATTTGATACTAATAAGGTAACCCGTATTTTTAGTGACAAGAACCTGAAGCATCTATGTGTACAGGAGAATTTGTCTTCAATTTAGAAATTCCCTTGCTTCCCCGACGAAATCAACCTCCGTGCCAAAGGAGATAAGGACCACTTATTAGGACGAGGACTTAAAGACTGAAAATAGATTATTACATAGATATAAGGAATTAAATTAAAATTTTGAATAAAATTAGATGACCAAATGTGCACTTTTAATTCATTATATTTCTGTAAGTGAAATTGCTTAAACTTTTGAGTTGAACAAGTTTAAGGGTCCCTTTGGATTGGTGATAAAAAAAATAGCTTATTTTCAATTTGATTTTTGAAAAAGTTATATTAGATAATATAATTTATGTTTGCATTGAATTATATAAAAAATAGTTTGTAAAAGTTAAAAAAATTGTTTGAATTATAACTGGATAAGTTTAGTTTATAAATTTACCAAAATAAGTATGATATTAAATAAAAAAATATAAATTTACATAATATAATGAATTTGTATTATTTTAACAGGAAGAAGTAAAGTTTAATGACTGAAATATATTTTAAAAAATTAGAAATATCATAAAAAATTTTGTAAATAAAAAAAAATATAATTTTAAAAAATTAAAAATTATTTATGTACATGTAAAATTATAAATTTACATCATTAAACTATTAAAATGATAAAGTTTGCTTCCTTCAAGCCCAAATCAGTAAAGCCTTGGACCTCCTTGATGATTTTAATTTTTTAGGCCGCTTCAAGGGACTCCAATTTCTGTTCAAACACAGTCTTTTCTACCTTCTTCTCTTTCTCTGCTGCAGCTGGTGCCTTTACTGCCATTCCAGTCGAGTTAGCGGCTCCTGGTTTCATATATACCCCAGTAGGCATCTCCTTCAATCCCATTTTCCTCATCAAGATAGGGCCCAATGCCTGAAAACTCTCTCTTACGGAGGACTTCGATGCTTAATAGGATCAAATGTTGTAGGATAAAAATCAGTTGGGAGCCTGCTCTGGTCAATTTCCACTTCCTCTACGTCCGCGTCGAAGGAAGAATCAGATTAGATCGCACCTTCAGGGACTCCAATGGGAAAAAAAAAAAAAAAAAAAAAACATTCTACAAACATGTAACAAATCGTCGACTATGAAGGCTAAAAGAAGCAGATTGGATAGTGTATTACAATGGGAGGCCAAGATATCCACGCATAACTCACATGCACAGATGAGACAGTGGTGGCCACGACTTGAAGATTGCAACCATGACTTGGCAACAGTGACGATAGATCGGACAAGGCAAGAGGAGAGGAGTAGAGATGAAGGAGCAAGACAAGGAGATGAATTCGCCCAGACCCAACACCGGACGAAACTGATAGCGGAGAGGCCACAGAGTGTGGTTTCCAACGGCCGAGAAGTGAACGAGCATGAAGAAGGTGTATTGGATACATTTGGTCTGGCATTTGTTAGTTGTATTTCATGTTTGGCCTAGTTTAGGTAGTCAAGGCCCATTAGGTGTCATCCAGTAGGTGCGGTCCAGTGCTATATATGTACTGCAGGTTGATGTATTTTGAATATGGAATCATTAATGAATAATACAAAGAATTTATTCAGTTACGCATTGCTTTGATTGTTATCATGGCATCCGAGCCCAAGTTGTGATTATTCAAAGGTCCATCATATCTGAGAAGCCCAATGTGTTAGGCCCGTCTTCCTTGCTTGAGATTCAAGAATGAACCAAGATCTATCCGGCATCCACACGTTCTCCCATTTGTCCTGAAATCAGGAAGTGGACCGTGACTCTCGAATCTGTCAACCCAAGATTGATGAGGGTAAGAAATATGGGAGACGAGAAGGTGTCCGGCGACGCAGCCAAATACTCCTGATGTATCCTCTTATGACAGTAAACCAGTCTTATGCAATGATTCTTGAAGTTGAAGCACATAAGAACATTGCAAATATGGAAAAGATTAATCCCACAGAAGGAGTAGTAATGATCTCTAAAGGCAGAGGAAGAGAAAGGGGAAAGGGAAGAGGAACCCCTCCACCGGAATGTGATCATTGTCATAAGAAGGGTCACACAAAAGAAAACTGTTGGGAGATAATTGGATTTTCAGTTGATTTCAAAGGCAACAAGGCCAAAGAGAACCAAGAAACGAAAGGGAAACAGAATGGGGGAAATCGAGAAGGAGAAGCTCTCACAAATGTGTCCAGTGTCTCACCAAGCTTCACACTAGAACAATGAGTGGTTGCTGGAACTGTTGAAGAAAGATTCGGATGTTAATGTACACGCATTCAGTGGTACAGGTTTGCCTATTCTAATCTCCTCTGATTTAAAACGCGGTAAATGGGTTTTCGATTCAGGAGCTACCACACACATGGTTAGCGATCTAGGTTTATTGGATAATTACAAACTCTATGATGGACCAATCAAAACCATTAAAGTTTTGAATGGAGATAGATTTTCTGTGACTCATGTAGGAGATATTAGATTTCCTAACGGAATTGAACTAAAGGGCATTTTATATGCTACAGAACTCCAATTCAATTTAATTTCTATTTCTAGGATTACTAAAGAGTTATTCTGTGTGGTATCCTTTTATCCTGATAGATGTGTATTGCAGGACCTACAAGATGGCAAGATGAAGGGGATTGGTAGAGTAGTTCACAGTTTATACCTGTTGGATTTAGAGAAGAACTACACTAGTATAAAAGTTGATAATGATACTTGCTGCTCTGTTACTCATACTAATTTGTGGTTACATAAGAGACTTGAACATACTCCTGTGAATGTAATCAAACATTTAGACATTGTACGAAACAAATCAATGAATATGAATAAAAGTTGTGACATTTGTTTTCAACCTAAACAAACCAAGCTTCCTTTCCCTTCTAGTTGCATTAGAACTAAGAATTGTTTTGATTTGCTTCATATGGATGTTTAGGGAGCTTGCAAAGTACCTACACATTCATATTTTCAGTGCTTTCTAACCATTGTTGATGATTTCTCTAGGGCAACTTGGACTTATCTTATGAAACATAAATCTGAAACCGCTTACCATATTAAGAATTTCTTTGCTTATGTTCTAAATCAATTTGACAATTCTGATAAAAGGGTGAGAAGCAACAATGGAACTGAATTTGTTAATCATGAGTTAGGAAAGTATTTTCAAGATAAAGGTGTCATAAATGAAACTACTTGCCCCTATACCCCTTAACAGAACGGTATTATCGAAAGGAAGCATAGGACATTGATGCAGATTGTAAGAGGTTCGATAATGCAATCTAGAATACTAATCAAGTTTTGGGGTGAGTGTGTGAAAATGGCAACCTATTTAGTTAACAGAATTCCTAGCAGGATATTAGGTTTTGAAACTTCTTATCAACTTATTCATGGATACCCTCCTAACTATGATAATTTGAGAGTTTTTTGTTGTTCAGGATATGCCACAGATCTTGTTAACATAGATAAGTTCCAACCCAGATTAATACCATGTGTTTTCTTAGGATATCCAAACAATCAAAAGGGATATTTTTGTTGAACTTGAAAGATCATAGATTTTGTCAGTAGACATGTAAGGTTTCCGGAACATATTTTCCCTTTTAAAATC